TTTTCTTTATTACACAACGGGGGAGTTTTAAAACGATTTAACAGCAATTTAGTTTTATGGTCACTTTCGAGGTATACACACTTTTGAATGAATAACAAAAAATAAAATAAAATATTAAATTACTTGCAACATTAGGATATAATATTTTTGAATTGCAACCGAATTGTGACATGTTAAGCAAAAATTTCTTAAGCTTGGATAGTAGTTCTGAAACTTATATAAAATTCTGAATTTCAATTTCACCTCTCCACTTAGGTAATCTACATTCTGCCTTAGAATGAACTTGGAAATAATATACCTTACCTTCTATGCGCTCCCAGACAGCAGGGTGGCGTCGTTGGCGCTTCAATCGAGTCATATTCAAGTAAGGAATCTGACGTCTCTTTCTATCGACCTGTCCCTTTTTGTGTAATTGATAGTACATGAAATGTCAATTTCTACCGTTAGGGGCAGACCTGATGTTCTACTTGAGGAGGAATCGAATTTTGGCTGGGAGACTAATGAGTGATCATTTGAATTATCATTTGAAGCTGTTATTTCCATCTTGTCCAAAGAAGTTCTCTTGAGAGTTACAGGGGGTAGATCGGAATCGGGTTCGTGCTATTACTGGGTTCTTCATTGGCCATTGTCCGTGAAATATCACCTTCACAAACAGAGCAAATCGTACTCCTTTTTGCGTAGATTGTGCTGCGACGATAAAGGGACAACCACACATATTCTGTGTTTCGGCTCTCTCAGAGTTCGGATGCTCATGGCCAACTCCCAGAGGGATATCTACGGCTTAGAACCGATGTAGTATAAGTGGGTTGTGGGAAAGCTACAATAAGCCATGGCTGGCTACGATGGTTGGAGAGGAGTATAGTTCCTTTGTCCATATCTCTTTTCAATTATTCAAAAATCTACACTTATCTTCACAAAAAAAAAAGTCTACTACTTAAAAATTCACACTGAGAAAAAATGTATTAACAAACGAAAATTCAAATTTATAATACCTACATACCATAAAAACAATAACAGTTTTCTGCCCTTATAAAAATTGAACACCGTATAATATTTATGGAAAACTATAAAATAAGAACAACAAAAACATATTTTCACGCAAATACAAACTTATATACTAAAAATATTGCATATAAAATACGTTTGTGTGTAAGAAAAAAAAAATTGTAATTTTAGAACAGTTTAAATAAGTACCTATTTATAAAGTGTTTGGACTACGAAAAAAAAAACAATCTAACTGTCACAATAAAACTGTGACATTTATTTTTCTTTTTTATTAAAAAAAAAAAAACGTATGTTAGAGTTTTTTGTTTTTCAATTCAGATTTTAATTTCACAGTATGAAAAACGTAATAGAAAACTATAAAGGATATCGACATCTTGGGGTCATAACAAATGTACGTAATAATGTAGTGTATGTTCCGATTATTTTCTAAATGAGATTGTAAATTTTTTATTTTTTATTTTTATTGTCTTTCTTTTGTTTGGTAGTCATTTTACAACATTTACTGAAAACTATTTAAACATAATTTTTTTAAGTGTGTTTGTACTTGACAATTAAAGGATAATTTTAAATTGAAATAATTATTGTTTTGGTATAAGTTTTAATCTGGCGTCTTACAGCTTATAACTAAGAATTTTTCACAATAAAACTCAAACCGTAGTGTTTATATGTTATAGTGCCAGAGTTAAATAAAAAATGTTAAAAAATTTGAAGGAGCTACTTTGATTATGTAGCAATTTTAAGAGCAAATGTTCTATCTAAACGTCAGCTTTTAAGAATTTATTCTAAAACAAATTTTTAATTGGATATTTTCCAGTCTGAAAACCATTCCCGATGAAGTACCATATTTACCCAGGCCAAATTTGGATTCTGACTTAAACACCGATTGGCAGCGTCCTATACCTATATTCATTCATAATCGAGATCATAACTCCGAGAAATGTTCCGATGCGGTTTTTTTCGTTCAGTTGTTTTAGTTGTATAATATTAATCTATTGATGGAATCTATTTCGAAATTAATAGATTCCATATGCTAACTTTCAAATCACCGACTTCATAACAAATGACTACATAGGCTAATTCCCAAGTCACCGACTCGAATATCTTAAAATGCCCATTGTTTAATACATTAATGTTCTAATTTTGTATTAAAAACGTAATATAAAAATCAAAGTCATCCTTTACAATAGAATGTCCTTAAGAAATTTAAAATAAAAATTTATTTCTTATAAAAATTAAATAAGTTTTATAAATACTTAAGCGTACAAAAAAATAAGTGTTTTATGTTTACTTACGTTATTGGTATGAGAAGAATAAAAAAAAAACACAAAAACAACCTCGTAACCTGCTGTTTAACTTATGAGAATAATTCTAAAAAAAAAATTTTTAATAGCAATTTGTTGAATAAAATTACGGCAAATATTTATGGTTACAATAGGAAAGTTATTCAAAAAAAAAAAGGATATTTACGTATTTTAAAGGATAACTATTTAACGGTATAATAATTACATTTTATGTCCACCCTACAGTTACGTTAATTTTCTATTCTAGTGGTTTTTTTTTCTATTTAGTGTATACTAACTTATTTATTTATAAAATGTTTCTATAAATATAACAATAATTTTTCTTGAGGTTAATGTTTTATTATATTACTGTCATTTAAATGTCTATCACAGTGGTAAAATGACGCGATTTATTGTTAAAAAAAAAAATTTATATAATAAAGGAATAAAGTCAAAAGAAAATAATGTTAATAATAATAAAATAAATTGAGATTTAATTAAAATATTCTAAATAGTGATTAAAAACCTTAAAATAAAACAAATAAGATTAGTTGCTGTCCGCATATATTTTTATATTGTCCATAATGTTAGAATTAAACTAATTTTCAATTCACTAACATTGATACAAAAAAATATTAAGGAATATTAGATAATTCAAAAAGTTTCCCTTATAATTATTGTTAGTTTTGGAAATTACTTGAATTATGTTAAATCTATTAATAGTAGGAGATTTTAACCCAACCTAAACCACACCTAAATAGTCATAAACTCCTAAAACTAGTCAAATTAATAACGTGTTTTTCTGTCTACATTCCGTTAAGGAAGACACGCAAGTCTTAGCACTTTTGGTAAAATTGAGAGGACTCAAACGGTCTTTCTGTCCGCTATTCTCCCCCATAAGTTTTTGAATAAAATAATTCTAAAATTCAAAAATTTACCTAAAAATTGTACAGAATATCGAAAAAGTCAAAATATTTTTCTTAGCACATTCCTTTTTTCATGTATTAAAATTCACTGCAGAAGTCATAATTGCAAAATCAATAAAATTTTAAATACTAATCAACAAAATTTCAATCTTATATTTCTTCTCCTGAAATTATGCAATTTAAAAAAAAAAACCACTGTACATATAAGAAAAATTATCTGACCAACAGTGCAAGACCCTTTTAACCATAGGGTCTCAAGCTCAAAACCTGTTTGAATTATAATGTGATTTTCGAGCAAGAAGGATTTTTTCTAAAATGTATACAAAATTTCTCTTTATTTTCGAAGGTAAGAGGTTCAGAAGAAATGCAAAAATCTAATCGAGAAAATGAGTAATATTATTGATATAACGAAATGTTCATTAGAAAAAATGACAACTGTGAATTCAAAAGTGAATAAAAAGTGTAATGAAAAAGCGACATACACGATTAGACTGTAATATGAAAGCAATTACCATATAATATTTGATATTGAACAAACAAAAGCAAAACAAAAAATATTAATGACCTTATAATGGAGTACTACAACAGTCTCATGCAAACAAGAAAATTCATGACCTGTAAATTACTTACTCAATAAATATGCTCAATTCTTCTCAATTCTTGAACAAGTTATAATAACTTTTACGATTTTATATCGTTGCATAAATGTTTACATTACATTTAAAACACCATATTTATCGAATGGAAAAGCGAAAATTCATATATTTATATATATGTATATACACAGTGCCGGATCTACCATATATGCAAAGTAAGTATATGTAAGGAGCGCTGGAAAACAGAGGCGCAATTACTATGCGCAATTTGCAATGCTTATTGAATATTGTTAATTGAAAGCACGGACGGTTAGGAGGAGCGAATTTTATATGCAAAATTCAATTTTTTAAAATTTATTTTCTATTCGATTTATTCATAAATCAAATGATAAAAAAATAAACGCACTCTTCAAACTAAAACTCCTTCTAAAATCATTCAAAGTAAATAATGTTAGAAACACTTTTCTTTAACACTATTGTTATTACAAATAATTGCCACTCTTTTATTAATAATATTCCCAGAAATTTATACCTTTCTCAAATAAGTCAAACTCATACATTAAAAATAAAATATTTTTATTTATAATTTTTTTCTCCGAAATTTATTTTACCATTTTTATCTGATTTACTACAATAATACCAATGTTTACCTTTAATTTTTTCTTTTATTATATTATAACTTCTTTTGTGTCCATATATATATATATATATGTATATATATATATATAGAAGAGGAACACTTAAAATCATATTATTTACTGACCATAAAGAACCTTCAATAATTTTATAATAAAAAAAAAAATAGCAAAAATCTAATAATCATAAAACCCACAATACAATAACAATTTACTCTCCATAAAAGCAAAAAAAAATTTATTACCTAAAAATTATTATTACAGAAAAATTAAGCTCATTTTATGAACACAGTAGGAGAATTAAAGGGAACTAACAAAAAAAAATCCAACCACCCAAACCAAAATGGGTAAAAAAAAATTATCATAAAAATCATCAACAACTCATTAATTTCTCATAAAATCTTAACACATCCATACATACATATGTATGTGTATTTTGTACATATCTATAGAATTGACATATTTACAAGTATATAATACATATTTAATTGCATATATTATATTTACATATATAAGTATAAATAATATTTATATAGAAAAACAAAAATTTATACTCACTTATTTGTAAACTTAGACAGTAAACAGCTTGTTGACTCATTTCTCATTAATCCACCAAATTATTATTGTCATACCGAAATAAAACCCAAAAAAAATTAAAACCGAACCAAAACAAAAAAAAAATTATCACTACTATTCCGAAAAAATTTATTTATCCTTTTTTTGGTTTTTTTCACTTTTAGTTCAAAAAAAAAATTGAAGAGAATTATTAAAACAACCCTACACAACACATTTACTGAGGGGTTCTTATTAATATTTTTTTTTTTTTGTTTTTTTTTTTCACCTCCTCCTCTTCTTTTTTTTTTTTATATACAATATTTTTTTTCCCCAAAATAAAATTGGGAATATTTATAACAAAAAAAATAATGATTCTAAACCTCAAAAACAGCAACAACAACACAAGAAAAATAAAAACTATATATAACGGTATATAGTTAAAAACTGACAGGAAAAAAGAATTTTGTATTTATTATATACTCGTATGTGTGTGAGTGTGTGTACACAAAATAATATTCACCCAAATGAAAAATATACGGAAAAAAAAAAATTAATTTTTTTTTTTTTTTATGTTTTCTCTTCAAGTTTTTTCACTTAATGAGTTCTTCCACCAAAATAGTACCGACAAATCATTTCCATAATTACATTATTCACCATCGCACGCCACCTGTTGTCACACCTGCAAAGAAATGTAAAAAAAAGAGAAAAGAATGAAAATTAAAAAAAATTTATAAAAAAAAAAATTTTTTTTTTTGTTTTGCTAAAAGGTGATGAATACAAAATTTTACGTTTGATATTTAGATATTATATGTATATGTATGTGTAAATAGAATTTTTCCATCAACAAAAGTCATTTATTTTGTTATATACTTATTTATAATTATAACAATCTTATATGATATAAAACAAATATCAAAAATATTATGTACACCTGTCACATGCGTTGATTTAAATGATCGAAAACTTAAGGTGGAAATGCCTAAAAAAAAAATATTTCAAATTCATCTATATAAAAATATTCTAAATAATTTAACCTTTCACTACGTAATAAATTGAATACTAAGGGGTAATCGAGGCTCTTTAGCTAAAAAAGGGAAAAGTGTTTATACCAGTTCGTGTATATCAAATGTGTCAATTTGACCTCATTCAGTAATTAAATTTAAATTTTGGAATATGGTAAATATAATGTTAGTTAACAGAAAATCTTGACAAATGCAAAATACAAAATTCTCATACATTCGTACGCTAAACTGTCTTAAATTTAATAAAATTTATTAAAAGTTATCGTTTTTGTAATTCGTATTTTATGAATATTCAATGAATTAATTTGTAAATAGGAAGATGGTATACTCAGAATGCTAATCGAAACGAAATTAATTTTTGTTAAAATGTGACATAATATGAAAGATGAGCTAAGCTTAATCCAACTACTTATTCGAATCTTTTTTTCATCACCCCGCTTCATAAGCTTTTTTATATTTCACTGTTTAATTTCGATTTAAATATTTAAAATCAATAATAAAAATAATATTTAACTTTTTCATTCTGCTTTGTTTTAAATAAACAATTCTACTGAAATGCTATACGATATGTATACGATCTATGAATATTGTACAATTACTATACCATAAATCATGCAACAAAATATGTAACATCATTATAAAAGAATTTTCTTAAACCAAGTTTTACACATATTTAATACATATAATATGTATAAGAGTTATATACTTATATGCAATTACAAGTTACATTTTTACAATATCGTAATATTTAATTCACATTTACATAATATTGTAATAAATATAAAAAAAAAAACAAGAAATAGTTCAAGAGCTCCCATAATATTCTCTCATAATATCAACTTTTATATATATATATATATATAACAAAAATTTTATTTTAATTTTTATCAGATTAACTCCCACATTTATTATAAAAAATTAACAACATTTCGGATCCTTCATGTAACATCATCATATTATTATTATTGTAAATATCCTAACATCAATATTCATTCACACATTTATATATTTTATAAAAATTCGTATTTCAACATTAATTCGATGAACATATATACAATTATGTATTCGTATATATATATATCATTTATATATGTATGTATACACATAAAAAATGATAAAAATAAATTAAAATAAAAGCAACATATTTTATTGTTTATTGATGTAGATCTAAATCTCATCTGTGTACAACAATAACAACAAACAAGACCCCACATAACAAAAACAAACTTGTATAATATAAACACATAAAATAAAATTATAGTAAAGAGAAAAAAAATTCCTTATGACAAAAGAAAATAACAATGAAAAATAAAGAAATAAAAATAATCTTAAAAATGTTAAAATTATACGGAAAATAAAAACAAAAGCAAAAAAAATACTAAAATTTCAAAGACGAGTCACTAAAAAAGGATATACGAGTACTTACGTGTGCTTATGAAATTTATGTATACATACACACATATACCACATACACACATGCATGTGAGACTTTAAAAGACAAGAAAAGAAGAAGAAAAGAAACAAAAACTCAATTTAATCAAATGAATGAATTTTTCAGTCAAAAACCATTCAAGATAACACAATAAAAAACGTTAAGATAATTGGATATCTTAAGAAAGAAATTTAAAAATGTGGAAAATTTTTTTCTCTTTCATTTTTTGCTTTTAAAAATTTTCTTAAATATTTTCCTAAAATTTTTTTTTATTGCTAAACTTATTACACAGTACTAGAATTTTTTTGTAATTTTATCTATTTTATTGTCTTAATAGTGAAGTTTTCATTTTTCTAGTAAATTTTGAAAGTTTTTTTTTATGAATTTTTAGGAAAATTTAACAAAAATATAAGAAAAATAAAGAATAAGGAAAAAATAATATGGTGAACAGATGATAGAATCTTCTTTTATTGCTCATTTTAATGAAATAAAAGTTATAAGGGTTGCAAAATTACAAGTTATTAATTGAATTGTTTCGAAAAGTAAAAGAGAAACCGTGGTATGAAGTAACCTTTCAGCAGTTTCAGAAGCCTTTCCTACCTTTCTCATATTGTACGTCAAAAATACAGCTATTTGATTGCTTATTTTTATTCCATAGGTTTCTACGAAAGTGCGCCCACATGCAAATGTACAATTGAATGAAATCAAGCAATCAAACAGTTTACAAACTGTATAATTTTTTACAAATATGATTGCAATTTTTAATTAACGCACTTGATTTGAATTGATGCAATAGTTTTGTTGCGTAAATGTGCCCGTAACGATCTTACAATTGAGCAATAATAACAAAACTAAAAATTGCATATTTTTCGGAGATGTAGCAATAAAAAATTTTAAAGAACTTTTTTTTGAACTTATTTTAAAATTATTATGTTTTAATTAAAAACTTAATTTCTTTTTAAGAATTTTTGCTGTATAAGGTTTTCTATATAAATTAAAAACCATTCTAGTATTCGAATTCAAAAAATTTTTTTTGTAAAATTTTAAAAATTTAAAATTTGCAGCAAAAATTTACTCTTACAAATACTGTAGAATATTTTTGAATTTCGACGAAAAATAATAAGTAAGCACTTACAGTAGATTAATATTTGGTATTTGACTAATCTTAAGTATTATTCTATTTAACTATTGCTATTAACCATTCACTAACTAAAATATGAAATCATGTCGATTTCCGAAAATATTGATATATATATACTATGTATACACATATATATGTAAACGTATACGTACATATATTAATAACTTAATTTTGAACAAATAAAAACAAAAACTTTTCGCCATCTTCTGGAACGCATTTAAAATTCAAAATTTAATCAAACTAAGCATTTTTCGAATAAAATCTTATTTATTACAAAAAAAAAAAATATTTATTGAATTTTCCGCTCTAATATTGATTTTATATATGTATATATATATATACTTATGTATATTGAATATATATCAAAGACTCTTCATCATAATAAAAGCAAATCATTCACAAAAAATCAATATTCGTCATACTAAGTAGATACTAGTACTAAGGCATAAAATCATTCAAGAACAAGAATTTTCAATATTCAATTTTATATTCGCGTATAAATATTAGGATTTTAAGAAACTAAAAAAAAATTTTTAATAATAAATATTTTTTTTTGTTTGGTTTGTCATACAACAACAAAAGAAAATTTATCTTTGATCAATTTATTTTTACATATATATTGTACATACATATATAGACAAACAAAACGTTGGCATACATACATTTTCAATATTTATACATTATTACCACACAATTTGAATAATTTAAGATTCTTATGTTTTTAGGGACTTTTTAACATTTTTATCTTAACTATAGAACAAAAAAAAAAAACAAAACATAAGAAAAGAAAAACCAAAATAATTTTCAGAACTTTTTAATTTTCTCATTTTGATGTTTAATAAAAATTCATAAAAAAAAATAAAAGAAACACCCGATCCCACTTCCACTCAATCCGACCCCCGAACTCCGAACTAGTTATACAAGAAATACTTAGGAAAATAAAAAAAAAACTAACCCGCTTCGCTTACACAGTTAAGAAAAATTTTTTTTCTTAAATTTTTTCCATTCTCTACGATTTTCATTGATAGAAAATTCGTCCTTTTGCCAAAATACAAGAACAAAATTGGAAAAAAAAAAAGGAAAAACTTTATTTTACGAATAATTTCATTTCCTCTAATTTTTTTTTTTCATTTTTTTTGCAAATTTAATTTTTTTTTTTTTTTGTTTTTAGTCGTTTCAGATCCATGCTGGGTTATTTCCTATCAAAAGAAAAAAAAAATAGAGAAAAAATTAAGAGATTTTTCTTTTTTTATATTTTCTATATGTGTGGCCACCCTCTGTTTGAAATTCAGATTTTTGTTTTTTTCTCTGGTTTGCTTCCCGTTTTGTATTTTTTTTTTCTTAATTTTCTCTTTCCTTCTTTATGTTGCGTTTCTTCGTTTCATTTCGATTACAATTTCTATTTTTTTTTTTCCGTTTTATCTTTTTTACATTTTTTGTTTTTTTTTTTTAGTCCTTCATATTATGCATACTTAGTTGGCATCTTGATAGGCGTCGTATTCAGAATATTGTCTTAAACAAGAAGACAAGTAAAAATAAGTTGCCGAAGGAAATGAAAAATAGAAAATAAATATTTAGAATAAAATAAAAGAAGAGAGAAAAAAAGAAATTTTTGACAATTTAGAAAGAAGAAAAAAGTGTGTGTTTTTTTATATATTTAAATTTTTTTATTTTTTGTCGTTTATACGATAACAGTAGTTTGATTTGAATATTAATGCATAGCTAGATTCAAAGACAATATGCAAGGGTAAAATATGAGTTCGCCTGTGAGATATGCAATTTTTTTTTTGTTTAGTCGTTATAGCGAACATTACAAATTTTAATGGTTACATACACGTTTTATAACACCAGTATATTCTTAAAATATTATAATTAACTATTATTCGAAATATTTACTAAATAAGTCAAAAATAATTTTTTTCTTACACAAATTTTACTCTTACAGAAATATGTTTACAAGGAAAACAAAGTGTCAAGTTGAGTTTTGCAATTTCTAATTTAATTTCTGTGTTATAAGAAATCTAATATACTGGGAAGTCATTTCGAAATTCCATAAATATATTTGATAATCAAGATTTCATGAG